CTGAGCCAAACTGGTTAGGGGTGATCTTTTTTCTTAAAAATGTTCTTTTACTGCCTGGCTGGTGTGGTTCAGTGGTTGAATGTCAACCCATGAACTAGGACAGCCGTGGGCAAACTACGGCCCGCGGGCCGGATCCGGCCCATTTGAAATGAATAAAACTAAAAAAAAAAAAAAAAAAGACCGTACCCTTTTATGTAATGATGTTTACTTTGAATTTATATTAGTTCACACAAACACTCCATCCATGCTTTTGTTCCGGCCCTCTGGTCCAGTTTAAGAACCCATTGTGGCCCTCGAGTCAAAAAGTTTGCCCACCCCTGAACTAGGAGGTGACAGTTTGATTCCCAGTCAGGGCAGTGCCTGGGTTGCTTTTTTTTTTTTTAATTAATGTCATTTTTCTACCCTGCCATTTAGTCACTACTGAGAATTTATATAACTTTGTCAGAGTTGCTGTCTGTACTAAGCTCAACACCTTCAGTGGTAACTGATATCGAAGTCCATCAGCATGTACAGCAGCAGAAATTGCTTGGAAGTACGAGCTCCTAGAGCTGGAAGGACCTTCTGAATCATTTAGTAGAACCCCAACCCCGATTTACAGCCCAGGAACTGAAGGCCCAAAGCTGCATAGCTAGTATGTGGTTAGCTGAGACTAAGATGCAGACCCCAGGGTCTTTGTTGAATGTTTTCTTCCACCCATAGCATGCTGCTTTGCCACTCAGCTGAGCAGTAGCAGACCTAGACCCGAACCTGGCTGTTCCAACTCATCCTCCAAAGCTCACTCACTGCCTTCCACCATGTTGCCTGTGTTCTACTCAGTGTGACATCTCTTCACTCACCCTGAGAAAGTTCTTTCTCAACTCGGCTTTTTCACTTGCAAACTGGAGGAGCCTGGCCTAAATAAAGAATCCATGGGGTTCTGTCAAGTAGAAGGCATTTTTGTGCTCACTTCAGTGGGCTCTGCTACCACCTTTAGAAAACGGCCTCCCTTGGTTGCAGGTTCTTGCTATTCATCACTTTGAATATTTCTTGCCACTCTCTTCTGGCCTGCATGGTTTCTGTTGAGAAATCAGCTGACAGTCGTATGGGTACGCCCTTGTAGGTAACTGACTGTCTTTCTCTTGCTGCTTTTAAGATTCTCTCTTTATCTTTTGCTCTTGGCATTTTAATTATGATGTGTCTTGGTGTGGTCCTCTTTGGATTCCTTTTGTTTGGGGTTCTCTGCGCAACCTGCAACCAAGATTACTTTATCCAGCAAAGCTATCATTCAGAATAGAAGGTCAGATAAAGAGCTTCACGGATAAGAAAAAGCTAAAGGAGTTCATCACCACCAAACCAGCATTATATGAAATGCTGAAAGGTATTCTTTAAGAAGAGGAAGAAGAAAAAGGAACTCTGACCATTTGCCACAGCATGGATGGAACTGGAGAGCGGATAAATACCACAGGATCTCACTCATTTGTGGAATATAATGAACAACATAAGCTGATGACTGTCGGGACTTGGAGGGAAGGTAGGGGAGGGTGGGGGTAAGGGGGAAAGATCAACCAAAGGACTTATATGCAAGCATATAGGCCTAATCAATGGACATGGACAACGGGGGGGTGAGGGCATGAGCGGGGGGGGGGGGTAGAGGGTAACGTGGGGACAAGGACACATATGTAATATCTTAATCAATAAAAAATATATTTAAAAAAAACAAAAACGGCCTCCCTGAAGAACGTGGCTCCTTCCTGAACCTCTGGGGAGAGAAGCATACATAAGCAGAATTTGCTTTCTTTTTTTCCATCATCTGATTGTTTGGTGCCCCAATTTTCATCTGAAGTCCAGGGGAGGTCAGGAATCTTTAAAGTACTCAGAGAAACAAAAATGATAGGTTATACCTGGTAATGAAGAGTGTGTATTTTGCTTGCACTTAGGAAATTAATAATTCCACTTCCTGCCCGTTCCCATTTATTACAATCTCAGTGCCAAAATGCTTACCTCAACTTTTAATACTTCTAACTGGCGTAAATTAGAGAAGCCTTCATTTCCTGAAAAAGATAGGCTGCTCAGATGACGTGGTTTGGGCACTACATACTAAGTGATTTTGTGAGCTGCTTTTTGAAGATTCCTTTCTCCCCTCTCTATAACCATTCTTAAGTAGAGTTAGTATAGATTTCAATGATGTATATAAAACAAAGAACCAAAATTCAATAATGTTTGGGCTCATAATCAATGAGATTTTAATGAAAAGAAATAATAGATTATTAGATTTAGAAAAGCCCATGGGGTTTTTTAGGATGTGTGTGTCAGGGGACCCATTTATTTATTTTATGAATGAGAAATTGTGGCTTGCCCGAAGTCACATCTCACAGTGTTAGTTGGTTAAAACATACAAAATCTAGGTCTTGAATTTCAGCTGCCTATGTCTTAAGGGAATAGGAGCAAGCTATATATGAACAAAGATTTCCTCATGGTACCAGTGGAAGCATTCCTGTAAGAAGTATTCATTGATCCCCTGTTTGTGACAGGCACAGTCCTAGGTTGTTGGGTATATATGGTTAAACAGAAGAACTAAGGCTTGTCCTCCTAGAGCTCTCGGTTTGCAGGGGTGTCCACACAGATGGTAAACCAGTAAGCAAACAAACACATAAATAATGATGGAGTGAAGGTCTGAAAGAAATGTTCCGAGTATGTGATAAGGAATAATGGGGATGGAGGCCTGCTTTGCTTTAGTGCTCTGGGCAAGGCTCCTGAGGAGTGACATCTAAACTAAAACCTGAAGGAACTAGCCCTGGAGTAGAATGAGAGTAGAGGGAACAAGTTCAAAGGACCTAACATTGAAAAATAAAGTTTGAGGTTGTTTTAAGAACTGAAAGACTAATGGGAGAGGGGTGGGGAAGGAGGGCATGAGATGAGAATAGAAAAGTAAGCAGGAACCAGGTCTTGAGTCATCAATATATTTATCTCTTGTTGAATCAAGATCAGTTGCTTCTTACTAAGACCTGTGTGTCTTAGAGATAGGTGAATTTTAGTTTGATTGCCCCAACCTTGAGAGTAACTCAGATGGGATAGCAGAGAAGAAGGTTAAGCCCTCTTCATAAGACTAAAGGATGTTATTCTTCCCTAGGCTTTAGCAGTTCTAGCAGTCACAAAACACCCTTCGCTGGCTCAGCTCCAACTAGAACAGCTGGACCTCTGTGTCTGTCCCCCCAGCCCCTGCCCCTATCCTCTAAGCCACTTTGGGAAGCTCTCCCCTGCCCCATCACATCACACATGTTTCCTCCCTACTCGCCAGGTGGCCCTACTGTGTCATGCTCTTTTCCACTAATGTGGGCCCTGTTGAGTACCCCTGATGTGGGGTTGGGTTGCTTCACTGCCTAAGCCACTGTTGGCCTTAACTGCTGCTAGTCCTTGCCTTCCTTCTGATAGGCAGTGTCTCTCTCTGCCCTTTCCTAACTTGAGTTCCAGCCTTCTCCAACAATGTTATTGCTGAAGTAGGGAAAATCTTTTCATTTGTGTAAACAGTTCTCCTTTCTTTACACTCAATTTGACAGGGAGTTGGGATAGAAAATAATCTGAGGGAGAAAGGTGGGCCGGAGGGGGTCAATGAGGGAAGAAAGGGGGACATATGTTATACTTTCAACAATAAAGAATTATTTAAAAAAAAAAAGAAAATAATCTGAGAAGTACTCCTGGCACTGCATTTACAATTCCCCTCCCCCCCCCGGCCCCTTCAGGCTTTTCCTCCTGTGTACCTTGCTTAGGAAGTATTTCTTCCTAGATGGTACCTTAATCTTTCTCACTCCTATCTCCAAATGCCATTTTCTCCCTCACTCCACCCCCAGCCATGCCTAAACCGAAGGATCACACAACTTAGACTCTCAAGCTAGGATTCTGACCCTTACCCAAAACCGTGGGGGACAGATGTGTTTCAGAATTTATAAGGTTTGGATTTTAGAATGAAAATATGGCATGCTACTTTCGTACCCTGTAATCAGGTACTATTTCTAAAGCACGGCATAAGAATATTCATAGTAAGTGGGATGCATACACAAAGACTATAAGTGGTCTTGTGTCAGTTCAGGTTTTGCCTTTAAAGAGATTTTCCATAAACTTAGAAATTGTTCAGTTTTTAGACTGGTTTTTGGATTCTTGGAATTGCAGATAAGGAATTATGAACCTGTATCCTTGTGGATACATACATAAACATAGTGGTTAGAATTTCCCTGCTAAATCATAAAAACTCATGTAAAATGAAACATTACCTTCCCCACTCCCCCTGTTCATGACTCCATTCAGGTTAATGTGACTTCTGTCCTTCCTCCATGTCTGTGGGGGATATCATGAGTTGACATTGATGATATGGACGGGGATGTTGGTTCAGCATAAGTTCTCCACCCCATCTGGGATGGACAGATGGACATGTCACAGGAAGGCAGTAGGAACCTATAGCAGCTGCTGTTCCGAGAGAAGATCAAGCACATTTAGAATTCCCTGCAACTTGACTGTGCGCTGCATTGTGGATGCCTGGCACTTGGCCTCTGCTCACTGAGGTGACTCACATGTAGCCTGAAGAGTAAAATGCTCTTTAAAGCCAAAGCTTCAGGCCAAACTTAAAAGCATCAACTGATACAGATGCTTCATAGAGGGTCTTCTGCACAATGATACAGTTTATTTCTTTTTACCATATTAAACTCCTTCTTTGGAATGTAGTGTTAAACTGACAATGGATTCATATGTGGAACTCTGTGTTTTACACATACACTTTACAATAAGAAGGTTAAGAACATTCAAGCAGAAAATTGGGTTTGTGCTGGTTAAGTAAGCCTTTTCTTAAAGTTTCTTACTCTTGATCCTTTGTACAAGAAAAGGTTCTATTTAATGTGTCATCCTTAGACTTCGTATGCAGAAATACTCAAAGTGGAAAGTGAAATTAGTATGTTTTCAGTGTTCTTAGAATTTTTTGAAGAGTAGTTTGAAAGCTTTAATTTACTCTATTCACCATGTTTACATTCTAGAAAATGAAGAGGTCAAGGAAACGACCTTACGAGAGCTTAAAATGCTTCGTACTCTCAAACAGGAAAACATTGTGGAGCTGAAAGAAGCCTTTCGTCGGAGGGGGAAATTATATTTGGTGTTTGAGTATGTGGAAAAAGTAAGTCACTAATCGATGCTATGGATATTTGCCTGAGTCTTTTACTTAGGGCTGTTTCTGACACCATTCAAGAAAGTGCCATTATGATTTGTCAATGTTCTCCTAATCCAAGGAAAGTATTACCCATAATCATTAGAGAAGTCCTGAAATATATTGACGGATTTTATACAATTTCACTGTATAGATATAACCTTAAGTTTAAACAGTGTATTGGCTTGGCTTCTAAAGTCTGAGAATCCGTGTTCAACAAGTAATTTTTAGACTTGGTTTATTTTAATTAAACCTAAGCGAGACTGTGGAGGGAGAGAAATAAATGGGCGGCAACGGTACAGGATGGGAGAGTACGTGTAAGATACCTCACAAGCATAGGATGGGTGTCTGAATCAGACCTAAGGTTGGTGAATGGGTGGGCTCATGAAGCAGCCTCTTGTGAATTGCCAGTGCTTTGGCTATATTTGAGGGAAAAAGATGTGCCAGGAGGCATAAGGTGAGACCACAGATAAAGGAATTGGAAACGGTTGCGGGGGAGGCGCGGGGGAGAAAATCACACTTTGTTCAAGTTGTCTGAGTGTTTGTTTTAGTATACATTTAAAAAATGTTAACTATTAGTGACAGTTTTAATAATGGGACCTAAGGGCAAATGCATGCTATAGTAATCCATTTTATGTGCCTATGGTTTTCTTGGACAGCAGTTGACCTAGAGCAGTCGGTTATTGTCAAGAACTTAAATCAGTGCTTTAACAAGAGGAAAATAAACAGGAGCCAGATGGACCTTTAAAGATTTCATTGATCATTAAATAGGTGGCTCTGCTGACTTCCTATGTTATTATCTGAAGATTAGGACTGGAGAGGTTTATGTTTGCTTTAGGTCAGTTCCCAGGTACTTTCTTTGGCACGAGTATCACCACCACCACCATCATTAGGAAATGGAAAGCAGTGTTGCTGAGACAGCTAACCAGTGATGTGACTTTTGAATTAATTCAGGTTTTACAAACTATTTTTCTAATTAAAAAATATACATAGTCACTTCATTACAAGCAGAAGTTGAAAAGTTACAGGGCTTTTTGTTGTTTTAAACACTGCTTTATGGTTTATTTCCAAAATTTGTTTTAGGTTTTCTTTTTCGGTGTCAATTTAGGTATTTTCCTAGACCTTCCCCACCAAAATAAAACTGAAATTTGATATATTTTTTAAAGTCATACAAAAAGGATTGCTGTAAAAGCAGATGTTGTTTAAATTATTTTACAGTTGTCAAAAATAATCATGCCATTTGTAGTTTTCACTGCCAAATGATAAAATTCTGACATCTGTTTCAGTTTATCCTTTTTATTTCTGTTCTACTCATGGTGATTGTTCACAATTAATAACCGTTTAGTAGGAATAAATGCAGAAATCACCTCTTTGTTTCAGATAATCTGTCATATCTGAGATCTTTCTGTTAGTAAGAGGCAGAACTCTACCAGAACTCTAGTTTCCTGACCCCGGGTCTGGGATTCTTGCTCTGATCCTGTACTTTTTCAGTGGAAGGTGACCATCACACCATTCCGTCAGTGGCAGTGCCTAACAATTGACAAATCTCAAGAGGGCAAGGAGAAGGATGCTTTAGGGGCAGGGGATTGTAATAGATGCAGGACCACAGGAGCTAAAACAAAATAGAAGTTTCTCATGCACAGATGCAAAGGTGGGCAGTATAGGGCTGGTATGGTAACTCCACAGGCTGCTTCTGCCTTTCTGCTCACCACCCCTGAGATGTGACCCTTGTCCTCACAGTCAAGACAGAGCTCCATCTATCACATCCCATTGGCCAGGATTTAGTTGCATGGCCCCACTAGCTGTAAGGAAGCGGAGAAATATACTCTTCATTCTGGCCACCTATGCATCCACTTACAAATTGTATTACTGTGGAATGAGAGAAGAATGAATTCTTCTCTGCCACTGAGGGATTTAGAGTTGAATATGAAATGAGACAATTTATTTGCTCTATTACAAAGCCCTCTTATTCCTCCTGTGCATTTGGGACCTGTGCATTTGTTAATTGAAAAGGGCAGTTCAAGTGGAGAAGCATTTTAAAAATGGTGTATACCTACTTGAAACATTTTCTTTTAACTTAAGACAAATAAATACAGATTTACCATCCTTCAGAGGTAGGGTCAAGGCCTTTTGAGTACTGATCTTCTGATTGGTGTTCTGATGGGTCTTTCTTGCATACATCATACCTGTAATGCATCAACTATGATATTATTCTGTGCCAGCTTCTTTAAAGTGAGGCAAGAGCTTAAAAACATTGCAAAGCAACCTCAGTGCAGAATTCTGATCACCGCCACCATCCCTGTCCTTCCAATGTTTTATGGTTGTTGTACTGACATTTGATTAGAGGGCAGTATGTTTAATGGTTTTCCTTTATTAAGTCTTTCCAAAGTGTGAAATTTAATTTTCTTACAAACAGCAACTCCCTTTTAAAAAAAACATTATTTCATTGGTTTATATGATATTTAGTTATATTAAAATAACAAGTGCATCTGTTAGAAATAGGTATGGCTGTATTGTAAATCAAAACTGTTTATATGTACACAACTTGACTGGTCATTTGTGCCATAGAAAGCACCTGGGAACTGACCTAAAGCAAACATAAACTTCTCCAGTCTTAATCTTCTTTAGGTACTAACATAGGTGAGAACGAAGTTGTCATGTTGTGTGAGAGCAGCACTTTTCTAACTTTTTGGTCTCAGGACTCCTTTACACTTCTAAACATTATTGGGAACCCTAAGAGCTTTTTATTTATGTGCGTTTTATCTGTTACTATTTTTTTTAGAAGTCAAAACAGAACAATATAACAATATTAATATATTTAAATAACAATAATAAACCCATTATGCATGTTAACATAAATACGTTTGTGTGTCCGTCATTCTTTCAAGTGCAAAATGGTGTTCCACAAGAAAAGTGGCTTGTTCAGTTTGCAACTCAATTGCCCAAGTCTTTTCCTTAAAATGACCATCTACTGTGATGTGCAGCAGCAAGAAGTGTTTTGTGTGTATTCCTCATTTTATCGTGTAGGTTCCTAAAAAGACATGTACTTGAGAATTGAAATTTAATAAGACATGTACTGCTTCATCAAATACATCCTTAACTAAAACTGGTTTGTTTTTTAACTGCAAGGGTGTGTCATTGAAGGATCAAAAGCCTTGATTCATGTTAAGTGCTACCAATTTATCCATCATTGTTTTGTGCCATAAGTGTAAATGCCAGCACAGTGAAAAAGGTTGAGTGTTATTATGACTATAGTTTTAACTTCATCAGCCCTCCTCATGGTCTGAGAACCACCTCCAGAGAGCCACAGATCACACTTTGAGAACTGTTGTCCTAGATCAGTGGTCCGCAAACTCATTAGTCAACAGAACCAAATATCAACAGTACAACGATTGAAATTTCTTTTGAGAGCCAAATTTTTTAAACTTAAACTATATAGGTAGATACATTGTTATTAACTTAATTAGGGTACTCCTAAGGCTTAGGAAGAGCCACACTCAAGGGGCCAAAGAGCCGCATGTGGCTCGCGAGCCACAGTTTGCCGACCACGGTCTTAGATGGTCATCTACAAACAGTAAATGTTAGTGGTGCTATGGGCCTTAGTCTTGTACTTTTCAGAGGGAATGGAGAATGTTTGGTTAATCTGGAAATTCAGTGAGACTGGTTAACTAGAGTTTGTACTTCATGAAAAACTTCCATGAATTTTAGAATGGTCATTCCAAACTGAAATTTTCAATATTGATTTGTTTGGAGTCTGAATTTTTATTTCAGCAGTATTTTCTAGCCTGTTTTAGTTTTTACACTGATTTTATTGAACGCTACTAACCTTAGGGATTATTTCTTTTAAGAATATTTTCCAGGTCTCCCAGGAATATTTTCAAGGCTTGATTTTATTGCAAAATTATATTAAAGATGCACAATGCACTGTTAAAATGATTCCCTTCACGTCTTATCTCTACTTTGTATTGTTGTTTTTCCATTGAAAACTGCTAAAATTATACCTGAAAGTTTTTAGGGAGAATGAAAAGCGCGCAGATTATTATTTGGGACAGTACTGGGGAGTAGGAAATTCTCTTTAAAAAGAACCTTTATTTAATACAATATCCTACTTCAACATGAAAAAGGTTATAGATGAAAAGCAAAACAATTTAAAAAAATGCAGGCTGTGTATTGGATGAGTTATCATCCAAGATGTTTTTTTAAATTATTAACATATAATTTATGGGCCTACCTAATTTTGGAGATTAATGGCTCCCTATTTAATTTTTAGAATATGCTCGAGTTGCTGGAAGAAATGCCAAATGGAGTTCCACCTGAAAAAGTAAAAAGTTATATCTATCAGCTAATCAAAGCTATTCACTGGTGCCATAAGAATGATATTGTTCATAGGGGTAAGTATGGAATTTTTGAAATACAAATGTTCAAACATCAAAGTTAACAGTATAATACTTCATATATTACTATCATAATATTTCCATAGACACTGAAATTCCATTGAAATTAAATACATTTTGTAAGTACAGGATATGAGACCTTGTTTGCCTTCCAAGTCTCGTTTTGTATCACAAAAAAGAATGGACGGCAAATTTACTTGGATATTATGGTGAGATCTCTGTGTTTGTATAACCATATTCACTCTTAACTCTAGAATCACCTAGTGTTATAAAAAACTCAACAGGCCCTAGCCGGTTTCGCTCAGTGCATAGAGCATTGGCCTGTGGACCAAAGGGTCCTGGGTTTGATTCCGTTCCAGGGCACATACCTCAGTTGCAAGCTCTCCCTAGCCAAGGCCCTGGTAAGGGCATGTGCAGGAGGCAACCAATCGATGTGTTTCTCTCACATCTGTATTTCTCTCTGTCTTTCCCTCTCTCTTCCACTCTCTCAAAAAATCAATGGAATAATGTCCTCGGGTGAGGATTAAAAACAAAAAACTCAACAGGTTCAAACTTTAGTGCTTACTGGGTGCGGGGCAGGGGGATCCTCTCCATTGCCTTTGGTTCTTCAGTTAGATCAGGTAATGTGAAACAAACCCCAAATCAGACTTCAGAGATAGTCACTAAGTCACTGACACCCCCCACCCTCCCAATCGCATTAACAGTCATTGCTTATTCCCTTAGAGACCAAGATCTCCAGTCTGTACCTTTATCTCCTAAGTTTCCTTACCTGTTACTAAAAACTGCCCATTGTTGCAGGTCACATGCATGACCAACTTGACATAAAGGCCATGATTATACTTTCATAAACTGTTTTGTTTTATGCTTTATGACCATGAATTGCACTGTCTTTAACTCTATACCATTTATCTAATCTAATAAAAGACAAACATGCAAATTGACCATACCTTCACTACACCTTAAGCCACGCCCACCAGCCAATCAGAGCGACTATATGCAAATTAACCCAACCAAGATGGCGGCCAGCAGCCACGGAGCTGGAGTGAGCAGGAGGCTTGGTTGCTGCAGTGATGGAGGAAGCCAAGCTTCTCGCCCGCTCTGGCCGGCTCTGAGCTCCACTGAAGGCAACAAAGTTTCAATTATAGAAGCTAAATAAACCCCAGATACCTGCTTTCAGCCGGCCGTGGCCACGGAGCTGGAGTGAGCATGAGGCTTGGTTGCTCCAGTGATGGAGGAAGCCAAGCTTCTCGCCTGCCCTGGCTGGCTCTGAGCTCCACTGAAGGCAACAAAGTTTCAATTATAGAAGGTAAATAAATCCCAGAATAAAAAGAAAAAAACGGAGAGGCTGGGAGCTTCCGTCGCCGGGGGGCTTGGCCAGCCTGAAAACGGCCCTTAGCCCCTCACCCAGGCTGGCCAAACCTCCATGGGGTAAGGGTCCCCACTAGGGGGGGGTTGACCAGCCTGCAAACAGCCATCAGCCCCTCACCCAGGCTTGCCAAGCACCCCAGTGAGGACCCCCACCCTGAAGGGGGTGTGACCAGCTGCAAACAGTCATCAGCCCCTCACCCAGGCTGGCCACGCACCCCAGCAGGACCCCCACCCTGAAGGGGGTGTTACCAGCCTGAAAACACCCATCAGCACCTCACCCAGGCTGGCCAGGCACCCCAGCAGGACCCCCACCCTGATCTGGGATACCCTTCAGGGCAAACCAGCCGGCCCCCACTCGTGCACCAGGCCTCTATCCTATCCTATATAATAAAAGGGTAATATGCAAACTGACCCTAACAGCAGAAAGACTGGGAATGACTGGTCACTATGACACACACTGACCACCAGGAGGCAGACACTCAATGCAGGAGCTGCCCCTTGGTGGTCAGTGCGCTCCCACAGGGGGAGCTCTGCTCAGCCACAAGCCAGGCTGATGGCTGCCAGTACAGCGGTGGTGGTGGGAGCCTCTCCCGCCTCCTCAGCAGCACTAAGGATGTCAGACTGCAGGGTAGGTCTGCTCCCCACTGGCAAGTGGACATCCCCCGAGGGCTCCAGGGCTGCCAGAGGGATGTCTGATTGCCAGCTTAGGCCCAATCCCCCGGGGAGTGGGCCTAAGCTAGCAGGTGGTCATCCCCTGAGGGGTCCCAGACTGCGAGAGGGCACAGGCCGGGCTGAGGGACACCCCCCCCCAAGTGCACAAATTTTTGTGCACCAGACCTCTAGTCTTCTGATAATCTCTCTTGCATTCCAGAGTTTTACAATCATGGGACATAAACTGATACAAGGATGAAGCTAAAAGATGTTTGTCAGAAAATGTTATATATACTTGTTGTCTTTTAATTGTCAAATAAGTGATACTACATTTTAATTTACCTATATAGAGACACAAGGATATCACTTTAAAGATAGTCTCACTTTAAGAATACCTTGTGAAGAATGTCGAGTCCTATTTCTACAAACAGACAGTTGATATTTCTCTTGCATTTGACTTTCATAGTAGTTATTTTTATCAAGGATGGCATGGATAGACCTCCAACAGCTAGAAATCTAGTGTGTAGGGTAAAATAACAGTCTGTACTTTCAGTTTGAGGCTATTAATAAGGAACTGATTTAGCTGCATTTTCATAGTGTTACAATGATTTGGTTAAGTGTATAATGAATCAATGTTTGGGAATTAGCAATAGAAACCATGATTCTGAAATCTACAGATTTTATTTCTACCCCTTCCTTTCCTCCATTTTCACCTCTAGCATATGGTAGATGATGGGTTCTCTAAAAATGCAGTTGTGCCCTAACCGGTTTGGCTCAGTGGATAGAGCGTCGACCTGCGGACTCAAGGGTCCCAGGTTCGATTCTGGTCAAGGGCATGTACCTTGGCTGCGGGCACATCCCCAGTAGGGGGCGTGCAGGAGGCAGCTGATTGATGTCTCTCGCTCATAGATGTTTCTAACTCTCTATCCCTCTCCCTTCCTCTCCGTAAAAAATCAATAAAATATATTTAAAAAAAATAAAAATGCAGTTGTGAGATGCCTTCCAAGGGGGATATTAATTTGCATTTTCTGTGTATTTCTACTCCTCAACTCCCACCACAGCTTCAAAAGATCCATGGAAAAAATGAGAAATCTTACTTTGACACATTCAATATAGCTTCGTTCAACATTAGAGATTTATAATTGTGAGCCACATAGAAAAGCTAAAGAGATATATAAATATAGAAATTACACAGAAAATCATAACAGAAAATGTATCTTATATGTATTTTTTCCTCTGGTAAATACAATGCTAGGTATTTGCTCTCAAAAAGTAAAAATAGTTCCTTAAAATGTGGTGGCCTAGATTCACTCATCCTTAAATTCCGTTCAAAAATGCAATTAATGCCTTTAAGATTTAAGGGGAAAATAGTTTTGAAATTGCGGTCTTCATGTTCTTCAAAAAGAAATTAATGGAACTTTTATGTACCAGCATAAAATGTGTTGCTCTGCTTTTCACTGCCACAGGTTTCTATTCAAATCACTGAATATTTCTAGTTAGGTGCTATTATAGTGTTCTATGGCGTCAATCAGCAGTACATGGGACATGTTTTAATCATTGTTTTTTAATCTTGATGTTCTAGATATAAAGCCAGAAAATCTCTTAATCAGCCACAATGATGTTTTGAAGCTGTGTGACTTTGGTAAGTTGAAAAGAAATTGAGCCCTTTAAGTACAGTAGTCCTCCCTTATCTGCAGTTTCACTTTATGTGGTTTCATTTACTCACGGTCAGCTGAGACCAGAAAATATTAAATGGAAAATTATAGAAATAATGAATTTGTAAGTTTTAAATTGTGTGTCACTCAAGTCTAAGTAGTGTAATGGAATCTCACGTTTTTCTGCTGTCTCGCCTGGGATTGAATCACAGTATCTGTCTCAGTTATCAGATAGACTATCTCAGTACACCAGTGTTTGTGTTCAGGTAACCCTTATTTTACTAATTATGGCTCCAAAGTGCAAGATAAGCTGTGAAATGCTTCTTTTAAGTGAAAAAGCATGTATGTGTAGGAAAAAAACAGCAGATACAGGGTTTAGTGTTATCTGTGGTTTTAGGCATCCACGGCGGGGGGGGGGGGGGGGTAATGTGTGTCTTAGAATGTAGCCCCTGTGATAAGGGAGGACTACTATACAAAATTGAGTTAATATAACCCATAGGTAGTTTTCACAAGCATATTAAAAGTATTTTTTATGTTTTAATTTAAGTAGCAGAGAAACATTTTATTTGGTCATATACTGAAAAATTGATAGCAGGAAGAGTACTACTCTCTGCTCTACATAGTATTGTCTACTATTTAAAAAATTCATCATGCAGTAGTTATTTCATGAGTGTTCAAATGCATGCATGTGCATATATTCATAAGTCTGGCAGTTAATGACCCCTGAAAGAGAGTTTTCTAGGAAATAACCTCTGGTTTGAGTAGAATAAAATTTTTTAAAAATATTTTAAATGTTGATAGAAATTGTTTTAGTCATAATCATAAACACTGAAAATATGCCTATGTAAATACATACATGTGTATGGTGTGAATGCAAATGTTATATATCTGTAAGATCAAAAGACATTTTTAGGACAGTTCTATTCTCTTTAAATGTTCAGCGAATGAGATTACTAATTAATGTGTAATACTCCAGCTTCTGGTTGAGTGTATAATGAAGTTTTCAAGTTGTATTTTCTTCTACTAGAAAATTCTATATTATTTCCTGTGTATAAAATTCTGTATTAGCCGAAACCGGTTTGGCTCAGTGGATAGAGCGTCGGCCTGCGGACTGAAGGGTCCCAGGTTCGATTCCGGTCAAGGGCATGTACCTGGGTTGTGGGCATATCCCCAGTAGGAGATGTGCAGGAGGCAGCTGATCGATGTTTCTCTCTCATCGATGTTTCTAGCTCTCTATCTCTCTCCCTTCCTCTCTGTAAAAAAATCAATAAAAGATATTTTTAAAAAATTCTGTATTAAAAATATGGGGTGTTTAAGGCATGAATCACTTTTGTAAATTGTAGTTTTGTCTAATCCATATATTGAAAAATAACTTGACTTTTTTAAAATGTAATTTTTCAGATATTCAAATATAATCACATACAATATAAACCTCCGCATATAAATGAGAAGTCACTTCTTTTTGTAAACAAAAGTTAGATTAGTACTTAGGAGATGGAGCACACAAGTGAGACATGGAAACATTCCAAGAAATCACTTTAGAATGACCAGTTTTGTGCAGTGTCGCAATTTGAAGCATGTATAACTGTTTTTAGCCAATGTTTTCAAAGATTTTGAACCTGCTTCCTTGAGAAAAACATTTTATATAGAACTTAATTTTCTTCATACTATATGACAAGGAATATTGCAGAGAAGAGTCCTGATGTATCCTAAACATCTTAAGATGTGCTTAGGAGAATAAAAAGAAAATAATGACTACTATAGTTAAAATATTTTGATCATGGCATTTTTGGCATTTCCTTAGCATTATGATATTCAGGAATAATATCTCTTTTTTACTTCCTACCCAAACTGTGATAACCACCAAATACTGAGACTTTGTGCAGCTCATAGACCCTTTACTGTGTATCCATGAACTATGGGGTTGGTGATCTGCTTAAACTCCACAGTTACTGAAATTTGTTAAGCAAGTTATAAAAGATGCCTGTAGAATGGTTAAAATAGGAAAAGCGTATCCCTAGTCTAGCATCATTTAAAGAAAAGACCATTTTAAATGGTCCAGAAGTTCAGCATGGCGACACTACTGTGCCCTGGGCATCCCTTATGAGGACTTCCTAATTGCTTTCCCTCCCAGAGTATGTAGCTCCTTTGTTTAGCTGGAAGAACCCCATGTACAAATACGAATATTCCTTCAAAATATGTCTTACAAAGAAGTATTAATTAACTGAAGTTAAGGTTTTGTTTTCTTCTGTAGTTTTTATTTTTTACTGTTCCATTTTAAGAAATACTATTTTCCACTTTTCAAAAGTAATATACACCTTAATTTTTACCCCCAATTTTAATGTTCTGGTTTTCTATAGCTATTTACAAGAAATCCATATTACTTTTGGTGAGTTAGATGGGTAATTAACTTACCTGCTGGTTTATTTTGTGACCCTAAAACCTCTTGAAATGGCTTTGGGGGAAAATAGTAATAGAGTCTATAAGGTAATTAAGATACCTCTAATGTGCTTCTTAGTCACATTAGGAGATAAAAATAATTTTGGCCTGCTTTGTTTCTGTCATTGCCAGCTGTTACTTGCTTCTATAATGGTTGGAGCTGATCAGCAACAGTAGATATACAAATACCATGAATGGCCCACATTGCAGCATATAATGACTGCTGTGATACGCTAGTTTAGCTTTGACTTCTGGCTTTTGTGGGCTTCATTTTGTTCTTAAGGTTTGTATTTATTGGGAGAACTATTTAAAAAATATGCTCTCTGCCATAACCGGTTTGGCTCAGTGGATAGAGCGTCGGCCTGAGGACTGAGGGGTCCCGGGTTCGATTCCGGTCAAGGGCATGTACCTGGGTTGCGGGCACATCCCCAGTAGGAAGTGTGCAGGAGGCAGCTGATCGATGTCTCTCTCTCATCAATGTTTCTAACTCTCTATCTCTCTCCCTTCCTCTCTGTAAAAAATCAATAAAATATATTTTTAAAAAAGAAGAATATGTCTAAAAAAAAAATATGCTCTGGCCCTAGCTGGTTTGGCTCAGTGGATAGAGCATCGGCCTGCAAAGTGAAGGATCCCGAGTTTGGTTCCAGTCAAAGGCACATGTCCGGGTTGCAGGCTCGATCTCCAGTGGGGGGCATGCAGGAGGCAGCTGATCAGTGATTCTCTCTCATCATTGATGTTTCTATCTCTCTCTCCCTTTCCCTTCCTCTCTGAAATCAATTAAAAATATATTTAAAGAATAAAAGTTTATACTTAAAAAATATACTCTGAATGCATATTAAAGCATGTGATGATTTTGAAAACATGGATTCCTTAGACAGAGAAGGAGACTTTTTTTTGTTTGTTTTTTAGTGAATACATGCTTTTAATTGACATATGAACAGTGGATTAAACTTTTAAAATAACAAGAACACTATTAATAAACAGCCCATCAATACCAGTCATTATGTTCTTTTCATGTTCCTTTAAAATATTGCTAGTACTGAAATATTTTGCCAACATGATTTCTTTTTCAAAGTTACATCTTTGGGCTTTGTTATCTTTCAGGTTTTGCTCGGAATCTATCAGAAGGCAATAACGCTAATTATACAGAGTATGTGGCCACCAGGTGGTATCGATCCCCAGAACTCTTACTTGGGTGAGTTATCTTCCCCAAATAGAATGACATCTGCATATCTGCTGATCCTATATAATTAGCTCTGAGATCATCTATGGAAAATAACATCAGTTAATGAAATACCAGTTACCTATTCCACTGTAACAAACCACCCTAAAACTTAATGGCATTAAACAAAATACCATTTTATTTGCTCACGATTCTGAGTGCCAGTGATTTGGGGGAATCAGCAATTTGAGTTCAGCTGGATGGTTCTTCTGCTGGTCTCAACTGGAGTTGCTAATGTCACTACAGTCAGTTTGTGACAGGTCATCTGGAGGCTGGTTGGTTTATGGGGCCACAGCTGGGACAGACCATCTCTGTCCCATGGGGACTCATTCTCCAGTAGGCTAGTCCAAGTTTCTGTGTGTGATAACAGAACTCCCTGCAGCATTAGGGCAAGCCCCAAACCAGAAGTTGTTTTCAAGCTTCTGTTTGCATGGCTTTTGCCTCATTGGCCAAAGCACATTACATGGCCAAGTCCTGATTCAAGGGATGGAGGAATAAACTACAGTTCTTGATGGGATGAGTGGCAGGGTCACAGTGAGAGATGTATGGAAATGGGGGGAATTATTGCAGCCATCTTTGTTAATAATCTTTCACATTAAGAATGTGGATGTCCACAGAGGTTGTTTTTGTCTGTTTCTTCTGTGTACCTCTGTTTGGACTCACTGGGATGCGTAGTCCATTTTCTTTGAGAGGGATTGTAATTTGGATTTACCAGTGTGCCACAAGAATTTTTAAAACATGTAATACCTGATTTAATCAGAGGCACTGACCTCTTTTCCCTCAGATTGTCAAATTGAAAAAAATGACAACAGCCAATAGCCATCTACTGTGAATGCCCAGTCTTGAACCATAAATATATAGGTCATATAATAGAGTTGCATCTCATTGGTCACATCATATAATAATGTTGTGTCTGGTTTCTCTTTGGTACCATAAATACTTATATGCAAGTATAAGTATCTGGTTTTTTAAAAAGTCACTTTGGAGCAAAATGAGTAGCTAATTATTTATTTTTATTTTTTGTAAATCAAAATGATACCTATTTTTGTCAGATTGGCAAAAAGTCTATTTTCGTGTGCTGCAGAATTGTATTAATTAGTTTATGTGTGCCATGAGATGAAAAAGGTTGAAATTTGCTGACCTAGAACAAATTTTTTGGAGCATTTCATTCCCCAAGTGAGGTGTTACCAGGCGTTTGCACTCTATTAAGGTTTATTAAGCTATTCATGTTCAAAATACACCCAGATTTCAACTTACTGTATGCTATCTAAATTGTTATTAAACTGATGGGTTTTTTTTAGCATAGATTTATTCACTTGTGTTCTGAATTTTTACTTGGATATCCCTTTTTTTAGCCTCCCTTTTATCCACATGGCACTTTTTTAATTCCTTAAATACATAAATGTGTTTTAAATCATGAATCTGTTCAAAATAATTTGGAAATTATTAAAATATATTTCTTCAATTGCCAGGATAATTTCTCCCTTTGCTTTTCAGAGCTCCCTATGGAAAATCCGTAGATATGTGGTCAGTGGGCTGTATTCTTGGGGAGCTTAGTGATGGACAACCTTTATTTCCCGGAGAAAGTGAAATTGACCAGCTCTTTACCATTCAGAAGGTGCTAGGACCACTTCCATCTGAGCAGATGAAGCTCTTCTACAGTAATCCTCGTTTCCATGGGCTCCGGGTAAGAGGCTTTGCGAAAACTCAAAATGGAACTAGTACTGCAATATTTAAATCATGGTTCATTACAAAATGGAATGCTTAGCTATTCTCTTTCTCATTGCAATGTTTATAAACCCCACTATAATATTTTATATTTGAATCTTATATAGTATTTGTTAATTTTAAAAAGTGGCCTGAATTTGAAAGTGGGAGCTGCTTATGTTTTTCCTAATTTGTATGTACCAATTTTTTAAAGCCTTTTCTAGTTTGGGTATTATTATATTCTAAACTTTGGTTATCTCAGAATGTTTGTTTATCCAAAATATTAAGCATCCCCAAAAGATATAACAATGTACAAATAGCTGTTGCTTATTTGAACAGACATATTTGTAGTGATTTGAGGAAGACTATGAATACTTAACATTCTTCAGATTTAAAGATGCTGTTCTTGTGGCTATTTCTGTTGACAGTGAAACATTGTCTTCTTTTCAAACTAGTGTATTGTCTTGGGCAGCCTTTTTGAGACTTGCTAATGTTGTATAAAACTTTTCAGAAAATATACTAAAAAGCGTCTAAAAATATAAATTTTCCCTAAATGAGGGACAACCGGCCTGCAGAAGCACCTTATGGAAGTGGCCAGTTCTAGGCTGCTTCTCTCTTTCATCTACCCCCAAAGCTACATTTTTTAGTTGTCAACTACCCTGTTTGGGCCAGCATGCCAATTGGTGGTGGCCGTTGTGGGAACTATAAAACAATCTCATCACCAATCTCTTTCTTTCTCTTAAATGCATAATTCTCAAACCGTGTTTTCTTGACATTTGCAAAGCACTTTTTTTCTTCCTTTGAGTTTCTGGACCTCAGTTCATTTCACTTTGAAGAGCACCCCTCTTCACACATGAGTGTCCAACACAGCACCCACTCCGAATGCCAAAGAAAGGAGTAAACAGAAGTGTATAGTTTCTCATCTCATTCCTGTTTTTTCTTCTCTCTTTCAAATCGTTGTTACCTCCAACAAGTTTCTCTTTTCTCCTTTTATTTTTTTTTGTTTTAGTAAGCCAAAAATTAGCCAAATTATGACTATAAATTAGGATGCACAGAGTTCAACAGTTGTTAAACATTTGTCATACTAGATGCTAACATTATGACAATAGGTAGGACTCACCCTCAGTCTAGCAGAAAGGAAAATCTATTCAGACATAGAGTTATTCATAATTCATGAATTCCTGTTTGGCTGAGAATACATCCACACTCCTTCTCATAGCCTACGACACCTTGCCTGATTCAGGTCCTTCTAGCTTCCTGACCTCAGCTCATACTGGTCTCTATTCCCTTCCCTCCAAACTGTCACCACACTTGCCTTTCTTTTTCTTTGACTTTCATAAACATTCCAAGGTTTTTCCAATCTCCTGGATTTGAGTCTTGCACCTCCTTCCAGTAAAGGGACTTCCCCTGTGAGACCCCTTCTCATTTTGTAAGTTTCAGCTCCAGGAATGCCCCTTCTCTCTGACCTCCCCAACATACTGCCCCCACCTCCTTTCTGTTATCTTCCATAGCACCCTTTATCCCATCATAACACTTCTCATGGTATGTAATTATTTGTGTTTGTTTACTTGTTAATTATTAATTGTCTAGTTCTCAGCCACTAGAATATAAACTCACCAAGGGCAGAAATCATGTTTTGTCACTGTGTTTCCAACCTCTAACACAGAGCCCAGCATATTTAGTGGGACTCTGAGTATTTGAATGAGCGCTTGAACCAATTTGTGCTGTCAGCGCTCAAGTTCAACTTCTCTCCATCTCTAATGCTGCTTTCGCTCTTTCACCTTTTACCTGAACTATTGACAGCTGCTCCCAAACTGATTGCTCCAACCTTCTCTCTTCACTTCAGTCTTTTCACATTGCCTTTAGAAAATGTTACCCTGAGGGGAAAAAAGGAAGTGGTATCTGATAGCATAAGATAGACCTCATCGGCAAAATAGTCGCTAAAATACCAGTATAGTCTTTTATCACAGTAAGACAGGTATCTCTGTATCTGGGCTAATAATTAATGCTCTGACAACATCCAAAGGAACCTTTATACCTCTCTGAAGAGAAGTACCTAGGTTTGGGAAGAGTGTGGGTTTGGACTGTAGACTTGGGGTCAAATTAGTTCTACTTCCTTTTCATCATGTGACTTGCCTCAAACAAGTTATTGAACTTTCTGGTCATCACCTTTCTTATTTCTAAAATAAGAAGAATGATCATTGCTAAAATGCCTCATGTACCATCACTTCCCTCAGAAATCAGTGTTAGGTTGTTGCCTTAGTGTCTGAGTTAATTCAGCTCATGGCACTTCTTCTACTTCCTCTATGTAGAAGATGCTGTCCTACTTTTCTCCATCCTCACATTTTTCTTATCTTTCAAAACCTGGCTCAAATATTAGCTATGGATTCTTCTACAGCTGCAAACCACCTGGGTCTCTCCTTTCTGTGAGCTCCACAGGGAATTTACAGCTGCACAGTTGACTTATAATTGCTTTCCCACCTGACTGAGTAGTGCTTGAGTGCAAAGTTTAGGTCTTACTCATATTCTCTCTCTCCTGCCCTACCTGGCAGGCACAGTGTGGGGATGAGGTCATAATCACTCCTAAAGGCCTGGTTTGTTTTCCCACATAACCATTCCTCCCATCCGCTCATTTAGCATGTGTAGGGATTTAAGTACTTCAAAATGTTCTTATGTTGGTATAAAAGAAATATATATTAAAGGCAAAGTAGCCCTCCCATTGGGAGGGAGTTTGTGCAATTGGGCTCTAATACTTTACCATCCACTTAGATATTGTGAAATGTGAGGGAAGGACAGAACATCTAAATAAACTTGACCTCTTCCCCTCATTTTATTAAAAAATGCATTTGTTAACTTAAGAGCCTGTGTACCTTCTGTTCCAACTTACATACAGGAAGGGATTGAAGACAGGTCATTTAAAAAGTATATAAGAGCAATAATACAATGTGTGTCTTAATTCACCATGTCTACTTCTGTGGCCTCTCAGGAACTGGCTTCTCTGTCTTTTTCCTCTTTTCTTCCCCTCTAATTTTCAGGAGTAAGTGACATCTTGTTGTGAAAAAGACAAGAATTGTCTGTATAAGCAGATAAATTCGGTATTAACTGTATAGTAACTGAATTCTCTATATAAGCAGACAATACTGTATAAAAACAGTTTCAAATGTTTATATTTTGGTTTGTTTTGCATGCTTCAGTATTGTCTGACGAGATTTAGTATCATCTTTCACCTGTGAGTTTTCCCTTTATTTAATACCCAGTTCTATTAATCCATAACTCAGATACATAGATACCAAAAGTAATATACATATATATGAGATCAATTTGACTTGGATTGGCACTAGGGCAAGGACTTCTGTTCGGCTGCTACCTTCTCGAATCAATGACAATACACGCACAGGTATACTCTTCCTCCTGTGCTAACACCCTGTCATGTTGTTCTTCCAGTTTCCAGCTGTTAACCATCCTCAGTCATTGGAGAGAAGATATCTTGGAATTTTAAACAGTGTTTTACTTGACTTAATGAAGGTGGGACAAGTTGATGTTGTCTGTATGAAATGTCTTTTGGTTTTTGGGTTCTCTTGTGTCTTAATTGTGACCATAGCCTGCTTTTACAAATTAAATGTTTTGTTAATAGATGTATAATGGTGAATAATAGGGACTGCATCGTGTTAAAAGACATGTAAATTATTTTAAATAGCAGATGTATCTGGTATTATAACATTTCATCTAAACAGGACTGTGAGATACCTAAATTATAATCCTAAAATGGACAGAATAATAACAATCTAAATATAAATAATAAGAAATAATTAAATTTATTCAGCACTCAAGAGCTGAATATAAGGTGTGTTTTGTTTTTTTCAAGCATTGGGTTTTAAAACAAATCTTAAAATGAATGTTGAAAGAAAAGAGATTCTAACATTTTTTTACATGATATTTAAGGCCTCTCATAAGATTATTTTATCAGATTATTTTAACTAATTCTGTTCATTTTTTAACTTAGCCTCTTCTCTCCTAGCCTTGGCTCTTTCTGACTCTTTTTGACACAGATAATTGACAGTACTGCTTCTACTGGGCCTGAGTGTTCCTCCTGTTGCTAGTGCACCTGTCCAGGAGGTCTTCCTGCTCTGGACTACTGAAAACATTCTCACCGTTTTTATTCATGGTTTTCTTCTCCAGTAGACAAAGTCAGCCCCTTGAGTGAGAACTATTTTTTTTCCCACACTTCTCCAGCTTCATTATAGGCAGTCAGTGCATAAGCAAGTGCTGGTTTTTTTTTAAAGTAGACCTTTAAAAAACAGTTGTTAATGGATCAGGTTTGTTATATGCCCATTCAGACAACCATCGAAATCAGAGGTGGTTACACTGTGCACAGAGCCTTCAAAAGGCATACTTAGCACAGTTGGAAATTGTTGAACAGTGCTCTCAGAACTTTGCTGTGCTTTAAACTATGTTAATCTGTGTGCCAAGGAACACTGTAAATAGGCATGGGGCAGAGGTGGGGGAGGGGCGTGGCCTTTGGGAAAGGCCACATACCATATTCATTAACCTATAAAGGCTCTCAGAAATCCCACAGCAAAGAAGCATTTCTATCTCACCCAACATTTCCCAAATTTAATTAAATACTGAATACATTTTTTAAAAATAAAACTCCACAGCACTAGTGTTCTTCTGAACACAGATTGAGAGATGCTATTAAAAAAAGAACCCTCAAGGCTCTTTCAGGTTAATTAGGCATAAATTATCTCTTAAATCAGTTGGGTTTTGTCAATATGCTCTTTCATGCAATCAATATTTACTTACCAGGGTCTTAATTATTTGGTAACTTTTAAAATCCTATAATAAAAGCCTAATATGCAAATCAACTGAACAGCAGAATGACCAATCACTATGACATGCACTGACTACCAGGGGGCAGAGCTGGTCCCAGCCTGCAGGCCCCAGGCCAGCCAAGGCGGGTGCCAGCAGAGGCCCCCTGATCGCCCCGCCAGTGGCCCCACAGATTGGTCCTGATCACCGGCCAGGCCTAGGGACCCTACCCATGCACGAATTTCATGCATCGGGCCTCTAGTATAAATATAATAAAGTAGAAGAGCTGAATTAAATGCAATTTCAAGTTTTCTGCCTTTTGTCTTTTTATAGTTAAAAATAATTGAACTTTCCCTGTTAAATCATTACCAAATATAATTACAAGCATCAATGATAACCTGAATCTCTGCATTTATACCAGTTTGGAAGTTAAACAGCTTAATTCCTATATATTTAATATATGTACCTTTAAGTTTTCTCGACATTAAAGAACCATTTTATTAAAATATATATTCATAAGGTATACAAATTATGTGTATATCTCAGTTAATTTTTGTAACGTAAGTATATCTGTATTACCCCACCCAAATTGGGATATAGAAAATTATTAACATTCCAGAAGTCTCCTCATGACTGCCTCTCAGACAGTATACTCCATCCTCCCTACTCCTGGAAACCACGATTCTAATTTCTATTACCAAAGATATTGCCTTGTTATTATTGAATATTAATATAAATAGAATTATTCCTTTTGTCTTTTAGTTATCTTTTACAATGAATTTGAAAAAATAAATAGTACCATTTACCTTTTCATGAAGAAATGTATTCTCTATGCCATTTCCCTAAAGCAGATTTGATACTTTAATCCATTTATAAGTACCTAAAATAGCCGTCTCATTCTGCATCTGTTTATACATGTCAGCCATTTTAGTGGGAATAAAAGTCTCCAGAATTAATCCAAGCCCCTAATAACTTAAAGAAAACTGTAATAATTATATGAGTTCTATTTTAGTTTTTTAAAAATTATGCTGTTCTATTCTTTGCTCTTAATGATCTCATCCTTCCAAGTAATTTGAAAATTAACAGCTATATTCATAAACATAAAAATAGTTCTTTGCATGTACGTGTAGTAATTTCTACGGTTGCTAATTTTAAGTTAAAATAGCACCTTAATGCTAGTAGATATTTGGCTTCTGAAAGTTCACGTGTACAACTAATTTGAAATACGACTCAGAGGCTGACTTTCCTTTGTTTTAACTAGTATCATGCAGTTGAAATCATTTTGACTTTAACTGTTTTAACTGCCAGTGAGAAATCATTTTATACACCTCCACAGTTTTTGTTTTCTAATAAGGAAGAAGAAAGAATTGAGGTAATTTTAGAGTTGTATCTGAGTCAACATGAATGTAAATCCATTTGCATGTAAGCAGTGGCTTAGGTTTCCAGATTCTGACCCAAAGTGAATGTGTTAGTATATGAAAGGATCGAATTTCAAATTCTCTGTGATGCTAGGTTGAAAGTAGTTGTCTAAAATTGAATTCTGGCTTATTGGGAGCCAATCTAGGTTTACTATCAGTGTTCAACAGTGGATCACAAAGGGATTACTCTTGGCTAACCAATGAAAGTGATCTAAAGATGGATTTGGAAATACTGGAATTTTACCCTTCTTCCTCTCTCTGAAGGAGAATCCCTGTCACTCAAAGAGAAAAGTTAAGTGTGCTCTATTGAGTTGTATTAGGTTATGTAGGTTGTTTCTTTTTTTTAAATTTTGTTTTATTGCTTAAAGTATTATAAAGAGTAGTACATATGTCTCCTTTTCTTTCCCCCTTGACCTTCCCCTGGCCTCCCCTACCCCCCAGGTTGTGTTTCTTTATATATTTAATTCGTCAGTAAAACCAATTAGTTTTAATAATGAGTCACCTTTTAAAATCCTGTCCAATTACTAATAAGATAAATATTATGAGAAGAAAACCTTTTCGTTGTTGTAAAAGAATATAATCTGTGCAATGTAAAACGGTTAGTACCTTAATGAATAAAGAACACTTAGAAATAAATTATAATAGATACACAGATAGAAAAATAAGAAAAGAAGGAAGATAAGTAACCAGTGAATAAAGATATTCAACCTCACTAGTCATCAAAGGTATAAATTAAAACAACTATAAGATGCCATTATTAAAATATATAATTTACAAGCACTAAAAAGAATGATAATGCCTGTTGTTGATGAAAGTGCCAGGAAATTGGTAGACTCAATTTCTGAGAGGAGTATAATTTGAGACAAACTTCCTAGGGAGTAATTTGGCAACACGGAGAATAATCTTTAAAAGTTAGCATACCTACTAGTTCCATCTCTAGGAGTTTATCCTGTGAAAGGGATCCTGGATGTATACAAAAATTTCAGGTGTTCACCACTGTATTAATTATAATAGTGAAAAGTGACAGCCATTTAAATGTCCAACAGTAGGAGATTGGTTAAATAAATCATGGTATATTCATACCACAAACTTCTATATAGAAAAACATGTTGTAAAGTGTTTTTGTTGCAACATTGTTCATAATAATAAAAGAAGGGAAACAACCAAAATATTTATTATTAGGGAATTGCTAAAAACAACCTAAGGTACATCCATAGAGTTACAACTCTTTACTGATATGAAATGATCTCAGAGAATCTAATGTCCAGTGAAAGAAAACTAAGAGCAGACCATTGTGTGTATGCTTCTATATGGGTAAATAAAAGGAGCAGCTAGAGATATGTACAGAACAAATGGAGATATGTACAGAACAAATGGAGATATGTACAGATGTACAAGAAACTGGTAGCATGGGCTGCCTCCAGAAAGGGGGACAGGAGAAAGATGAGGAATGTGTATTCTTTCATATGACTATCTACTTATTCCAAAAATATTTAAAATGTTATGGTGGTATAAATAATGTTTTTGACTAATAATTGAGAAGTAGAGGATACAAAACTTAAGTGTATAATGTGAGCCAGATTTTGTAAAAGAAAATATTATATGTGATATTCAAAGAGGGGCTGAAAGGGCATATCCCCAGAGGACAGCAATGGTAAGATTATGGGTGATTTACATAGTCCTTTAAAATTTTGGGGGGACGCTAAACTGTATTTGCTAGATATTCTGCAATGACCATGCATTTCTTCTATAAGAAAATAAGGTTTTTAAGACAGTTTAAATTGATGTTGTAATGTTCTTTCCCATCCTAACTTTATTTCCTAAGAATTTACTGAAGTTGGACCCAGCTGAAAGATACTTGACAGAACAGTGTTTGAATCACCCTGCGTTTCAAACCCAGAGACTTTTGGATCGTTCCCCTTCAAGGTCAGCAAAAAGAAAACCTTACCATGTGGAAAGCAGCACTTTGTCTAATAGGTAAATATTCCCTTTTAAGGAAATACAGATGCAGTGTTGGTCTTACAAGTAGGTGGAGGAGGTGGGTGCTTAAATGATGCGATTAGGGAAAAGAAGGAAAGCCCTCTTTATTCAAAAATATCTTCTTTATGCTTATTACATGATTCAGAACCACAATTTAAGAGTCATGTAGGTCTTAAAGACCTTATCTTTAACAAGTATATTATGGAAAACTATGCATTTCCTGGGAAAGGTAGCATGGGTTAGCAACTAAGGATGATTCTAGCCTCATGAACTAGAAGATTTTGTATAAATGGGACCCAGGGAGTGATCCCTGGGGAAGAAGGGTAGGTTAGAGCAAGAGGATTTCTGGAGGGAGAAGAGGATACCAAACGCAGATGGGTGGGAGGGTACCGAGGACAATCTTTGCAACTGAACCCAGTAGGTCTGGCTCTATAAAAGGGTTTTGTGTTTTGTTGCTCTTGACTTTTAACTATTGATTTGAGAAGTTATTTTTCATAAGAATAAGAATATGGAAACAGTAAAGTCAGTTTGGAAGATAGTGTTTTTTAAAATTGGTGTTTTTTAAAATGTAATTTTTCAGCATAATCTTAAAAACAAACAAACAAACAAAAAACCTCTATTTCTGGGAGCGGGAAAACTTTCCGACATCCCCCAAGGGGTCCCAGATTGAGAGAGGGCACAGACCAGGCTGAGGGACTCCACTGGTGCACAAATCCATGCTGCACTTGACCTCTAGTCTACTATAAGAAGAGAAATAGAAAATAATAATTCTTAATATGAAATTTTTTGAATAGAAGTTTCTCTTATTTCCCCCCAATTTTCTCTCCATGTTCTTAATCTAATGGAATTTTGAAAGCTCAAGATCCGGTACTTTTTAGATCTGTGACTGCATCCATAAATTGTCAGTAACCATTTTGCCCTGTGTTTCGCTGCTTCATTGCATTGGTGTGACTGTTTTTATTTTTGTTTTGGGGGTTCTTGTCTTTTTTACAGCTGTTTACTATCTTTAAAATGATTGGTTTTGGTATGTTTCCCTCACATCTTATAAACCATTCTTACCTATTTTTTGTTTGTTTGTTTGAAGGCCTGGGAGCAGGTTCAAATTCTGTTCAAATTCATGTGTAGGTTTGTGCTCCACATTGAGAACAGTGTTTCCAAGATTTTCAAAACTCTAGCAGCCATCTTCACTTTTCTCTATTCTTCCCTGGCTGGAGCTTTGGACTTTTCACAGTGTCTGCATGTGTTATCCCTGCTATTATTCTTTGTAGACCTGAAGGAGAAAGGGGAGGAAATAGAGTTATGGTAGCCCAGGGGAACCGGACAGAAGGAGCTGTCCCGTGGGAGCTGTAATACAGAGGGACACAGATGTGATCTGAGTCAGGGTGCTGATGTCTGGAAGAGCAGGGAAGATAGCCCCCAGCCCCTTGCACTGCTAAGCCCAACAGGGAGTTAGAGGGCAATGGAGCTTGGGTGATGCAGTGTACAGCACTGAACTCCTGAGACCCAGGAGTAGAGTGGATTGGGGGTTGGGCAAATGGAAAATAACCAACACACTCAGTCATATGTATTTATAGGTGAGACTATTTGTCTATCATCATTGGGGTTTTGAAAAATTGCTAAGATATTCTAGTAATTGAGATAACTAACGACTCTGGGGGGCTGTCCCTTATTGACCTAGATAGACTCTGTTGACATCATTTAATGGGAAGTGAAACTTTTTAAAAAAATATTTTTAATTGATTTCAGAGAGGAAGGAAGAGGGAGATAGAAATATCAATGATGAGGGAGAATAATTGATTGGTTGCCCCCTACACACCCCACACTGGGGATGGAGCTCGCAACCCAGGCATGTGCCCTGACCAGGAATCGAACTGTGACCTTCTGGTTCATAGTTCAACGCTCAACCACTGAGCCATACTGGCCAGGCTAAACTTTCCTTTTTTTGTGACATCTTTCTAGGTCTGGGATTTGCCATTTAGTTAACTTGTAGATAAGTGACTTTACTTAGTGCTGCAATTCTTATGACCCAACTGTGAGAGATTAGTGAGTGTGCATTTAGGAGATGGGGCCTTCCACACTAGTACAGGCTTGCTTGATATCAGATACTTTTTAATACTCTGAAAGGTAGGCGGAGAGGAAAAGGACCCTTACCTTTGATGCCTGAGCAAGTGGGTTCTCAGGGAAAATGGGAAGACATTGTTTCACAGATTATCATTCCATGGGTGGGAGGGACGGCGCGGAGGGAGATGTGACTTTCTTTCCAATTAGTGTGTGATGGGAACAGAACTCTCCCAAATGAAACCATCATTAGCAATAACAATATTTGCAGCAAAATTTTTTAAATGCAGGAAAAGAGTATTCTTTTTCACTTAAAAACATTCTTACCTATCTCAAAGTACAATGTGATCCTTTAAATAATTACAATAGGACATAATGACCTGGCTGTGATGTTAGTTTCAGCTTTCAAATAGAGGACAAAGTTTTCCTCTAGATTTATGTTTTGTATTTTAAACCAAGTAGGAAATGAAGCTTTAAATCCTAAAGAAGGCCTCAGTCAGTTTGCAATAATGACGTGTGAAATGAAGAAGAGAATAAATTGTGTCTTTTGGAGAGAAATGAATTCTTTAGATCCCTGAGATCCAGTTTGAGATACATTCCTGTTGAGTCTACAAGGAAATATCTGGTGTACCCCAAGTATTGCCACTTCACTGAAGCATAAACATTAATCATTGTGTTTTCCTACAGACCTCACTAGACAGTTTACATTTCTGTTTAGAGTGTCATTTTCTCTTATTGAGTACATTGCTAGAATTCTCATTCTTTGATGATACAGACTGAGGACAAAAGAGACACTGGTGTCTGTGTATATATTGTGAGTATGTACCTCTGAGGCAGGCCGTGAGCTTGGCAAATAAAAACGAAGTTCAAGGAACACAGTGACCTTTAAGTGTAAATGTTGCCTTCTGACATTTAAGCATACAAAAAGAGTCATAAAGGGTTTATCTATAGCTCAACTCTCTTCGTCCTAGCAGGCATTCTGTAACCAACACTCATGTGAGCAGCAACACAGCAAAAGCAGGCTTTCCCAGATTATCAGAAACTATATTGGCAGCAAGTTAGCTGAGCTTTTAAGGATGTCCAAATCATTAACTTTTAAGGATGTCCAAATCATTTAATTAGGACTGGTGCTTGTAGAATGATTTGATCTAAGGCACTTACTGCTTATGGTTACTTATTATTTGTTGAATCTAGTTTGAGACTTAATGTTTTTAAACTTTGAGGTGTTTTAAGTGTTTGTTCTTTTTTTATGATACTTTTTGTGTGTCTGCTATTGAGGAAAACTGATACACTTGTTTTGGGTTGTTTTTAATATAGAAATCAAGCCAGCAAAAGTACTGCTTTGCAGTCTCATCACAGATCTAATAGCAAGGACATCCAGAACCTAAGTGTGGGTCTGCCCCGGGCTGAAGAAGGTCTACCCGCCAGCGAAAGCTTCCTCAATGGAAACCTTGCTGGAGCTACTCTTAGCCCCATGCACACCAAAACCTATCAAGCAAGCAGCCAGCCTGGGTCCACCAGCAAAGATCTTACCAACAACAACTTAACACACCTTCTCAGCCCAAAAGAAACCAAGTCAAAGTCTGAGTTTGATTTCAATATTGACCCAAAGCCTTCAGAAGGCCCGGGCACAAAGTACCTCAAGTCAAACACCAGATCACAGCAGAACCGGCACTCATTTATGGAAAGCTCTCAGAGCAAAGCCGGAACACTGCAGCCCAGTGAAAAGCAGAGTCGACACAGCTACATTGACACCATTCCCCAGTCCTCTAGAAGTCCTTCCTACCGGACCAAGACCAAAAGCCACGGGGCATTGAGTGACTCTAAGTCTGTGAGCAACCTTTCCGAATCCAGGGCCCAAATTGCAGAGTCCAACACCAATAGGTATTTCCCATCCAGCTGCTTGGACTTGAACTCTCCAACAAGCCCAACCCCCACCAGGCACAGCGATACAAGAACTTTGCTCAGCCCCTCTGGAAGAAATAACCGAAGTGAGGGCACTCTGGACTCACGCCGAACCACAGCCAGGCATTCAAAAACGATGGACGAATTGAAGCTACCAGACCACGTGGACAGCAGCCATTCTCATTCACTGTCTGCACCTCATGAATCCTTTTCTTATGGACTGGGCTACACCAGCCCCTTCTCCTCCCAACAGCGTCCACATAGACATTCCATGTATGTGACCCGGGACAAAGTGAGAGCCAAAGGCTTGGACGGAAGCTTGAGCATAGGGCAAGGGATGGCAGCCAGAGCCAACAGTCTGCAGCTCTTATCACCCCAGGTACAGCTGAGGGCCATGACCTGGTCTGTTGGTTCACCATGGGAAGGTGGTGCAGGGGTAAATAGGGTCAGTCTGCAATTTTCCCTATTGCAAAAGTCTGTACTTCCTTGAAAGGATGCATTAGGGAAGCAATACTTGAAGAACTAATCTGTTAAAAAGAATTGAATTATTTAACCCAATTGTTGAGTACTCAGAACTCAAAGCTTGGTTTCAGAAATCTGTTTTCTTAAGTGTTCCTTTCTGGCATATTTTGTTTAGAGCATCCTATTTGATTTATTATAGAATTCATTGGCTATATGGGTTAGTTTTTAATTTTCTCAAAATTCATTAAGAACTTGTGGGAATTTTTCTCTAATGGCTCCAAACCACTTTTGCTAAGACCTTATTCAATATCTTAAACAAATTGAAAAGTTTGAAATTTATGTAGAATCATTGAGAAATTTAACATCAGGCCAGGATAAGTGTTAATAGTTGGTCTTTGGATTGTTTTTGAATCTCAAGGCAATGCTTTTAGCATAATACTTCCTCCATCTTATTGATCTTCACACTCTAGAACTGATACCTGTTTAAAAGCAGCAGCATTCTTGCAACAGAACACAGTTTGGAGTGATTTTATTTTTATTATATTTTTGTGATATTAAACATTCACCTGCATCAAAGAAATGAAAGTGGAGAAAAGCCAATGTCAGAGGGGAAGAGTTTCATGTAGGGAAAGCCCTCCCCTTTTAGAAACTATGCAAATAGGTATATGTAAGAATTCCAGAAAATATGGATGGAAAATGTCATGGGAGGCTTAGCAAGATAATTGGCAGTAACCAGCAGTCACAGTCACAGGCACAGTCTGTAGCTAAGAGCTCACCTGGGAAGCCCCGCAGACCTGGGTTTATTATCCCAGTTCTACAATGTGCTTCAAACTGTGATTTTGGAAAAGTGATACAACCTCTCTGTGCCTCAGATTCCTCATCTGAGTGTTGTTGTGAGGATTAAAGACAGTGTATAAAGCACCATGCCCAGTGCTCAGCACAGAGTAAGTGTTGAACAAATTTTAGTTGTTGCTGCTTCTGTGATGGCGGGGGCTATTGTTTAGGCATGGAACACCTTCTCTGTGCTAGGTATTCCAGGCACTCAGAAGAGTCTGAGCTAGGGTTCTTGAGAAACTTATTTTGTCTCAGGGAAGATTAAATTATATATAACAATGGACTAATTAGGAACCACATTCCTATGGCACTGGCTATAAATAGGAATTGAGAACAGGGAGAGAGTATTGTGAGCAGGAGCAGTCAGAAATGACTTTAGGGGCAACTAAAGGTCTTGCTGTGAGCTAGGATGTAGAGAGGTTTGTAGAGAGAATGAAGATGTGTTAGGCATTCATTGAGCTAGGCACCATGATTGGCTCTAATTAGAAGATGAAAAAGATGTGGTCCCTGCCCTTTTAGAGTGTGAGGGTTGCACACTTGCCAACTATAGCTTATTATAATAATGTTTGGGTGTGTGCCTGCACTGTGAGAGAGATGTGTGTGCTATAGGGGCCAAGGAGCTGCTCAGTCAGGCAGGGGCTTGTGGGAGGCCCCCAGGGGAGGTGTGATCTAAGCAGAGACTTCTGGGACTTAACTAGGGGAAGACAATGGAGTCAACATTAGGAAAGTTGCTAGAAGGGAAGGTGGAAAAGGACAAGGAAGAGGAGAATAAGAGAGACATTAAATAGCATAGTGTGCTGTGGGGATAACATGTTCCACCTTGCTGGGATGGAAATGAAAGATTTAGGGTGGTTTTTGCAATAATGTAACCATGAGGTGAGGAGAGAATGTTCTGGACTGTCAATGCCAATGGGAAAAACAGAGAAGAGTGTGTCTCAAAGACTCCTCAGAAGTAGAAACAAGGGGACTTGTGAATTGAAGGACAAAACAGAGGAAAAGGAAAGCCTTCAGAGTTGCTTTTCTAGGAGCTCCTTTTCAGAGTTGAAGAGAGGACTTTTGAAACCATTGAATTCAACCCCTTCATTTCACAGTGAGCATGCTGAGGCTCCTAAATGTTTACTGGGTTATCCAAGTTTACTAATTCAAAGCAGAGCTGGGATCATGAGGCAATGTCCAGGTCCCTAGCCAGCACTCTTTTTACTGTTTCATGCTGACATCTTGAAGTCGAAGTGACCCTGGGTCTCTAGGCAGAAGTGTTCTCCACGAGCTTGGAAAGACCGTCTGGTACCCAGGTGAGAGGAGGAGCAAGAGATGTCATGATTGGAGTCAGAGCAGTGGTAGGAGGAGCCCCCAAGGAATCCCTCTAGAAAGGAGAGAACCTCTAGGGCAGCCGTGGGCAAACTACGGCCGGGTCCGGCCAGTTTGAAATGAATAAAACTAAAAAAAAAAAAAAAGACCGTGCCCTTTTATGTAATGATGTTTACTTTGAATTTATATTAGTTCACACAAACACTCCATCCATGCTTTTGTTCCGGCCCTCCAGTCCAGTTTAAGAACCCATTGTAGCCCTCGAGTCAAAAAGTTTGCCCACCCCTGCTCTAGGGCCTACAAAGATCTCTAGAGCCTGGTAGATACCCATAGACATTAAGGTCAAACCCAGGTAAAACATGCTAGCACTAAGCATAGTGTAAACAGAGAAGTAGTAAGAAAAACAAAAAGCTTGAACTTGGAAAGTGGACTGGCTTTTTGAGAGTTCCAGAAAAAAATACTTTGACCATGGTGAAAATAAGCTAATTATAAATAGTTACTGTGGGCTAAGCACAGATCCAACTGTTACTGAATGTTAGGTCCAGTTCAGGATGTACTGTGCCAACCTACAAGGCAGTACAACTTTAAAGGCACAGAGATGGCAGACAGCTTGACAATAACTAAATCTTTGGATAAATGAGGGGAATCACTCCCTTACAAAATGTTGTGGCTATGTTCAAGAGTATGGGGACTGGACTGGCACTGTCATTTAAGAGTTTAGGTTAGATGTAAATCATTTGTTCTCTAAAATACTTTTTTTAGAGGCCTTTGTAAACACTATAGGTGGTAGCATTCATATGAGATCTTGTCATAAAGTAGAAAGAAGAATGGCTATATTGGATGATTTCCTGCTAAGAATCTATTCATAGTTCATTTGGGGAGTGAAGAGGAAAAAGAGAGACCCAGATTTTAAATTTTAAATGTTTTTGATACATCACATAAGGCTCATGATAATACACAATGCAGCTAACTCCTCTTAATGGCTTGGTAATTTTGTTCCTTAATCTTTTTTTCTGAGAGTAGAAAATGCTGCTTTTCCCCTCATTGAACACCACTGTGGACCAATGCTGCTCTTAGCTTGTGAATCACATCCTTGAGAGAAATAGGTAGTGTCTCCTGAGATGAGCAGTGTTATAATTATGGTTAAGGAAATATATGAGATATAAGTCCTGCTGTCCTAGAGAAGATTCAGAAGAGAACTTAAGTACATAAACTACTGTAGTTAGAGAAATTTAAGACAGAAATTATTAAGAGTATTGATTCTATTCCTTGATATATCCAAAGAACTTTAGTTTTCATCTGCATATGCCATATAAATTCTTCATGAAAAATAATTTTGGGCCAAAACCGGTTTGGCTCAGTGGATAGAGCGTCGGCCTGCGGACTGAGAGGTCCCAGGTTCGATTCCGGTCAAGGGCATGTACCTGGGTTGCGGGCACATCCCCAGTAGGAGATGTGCAGGAGGCAGCTGATCGATGATTCTCTCTCATCGATGTTTCTAACTCTCTATCTCTCTCCCTTCCTCTCTGTAAAAAATCAATAAAATATATTTAAAAAAAATAATAATTTTGGATCTGCACAGTACTTTTTAGAGAACTCAGCCTAAAATCTGCTAGAGAATTGTTGAATTAAGTAATAGAATCTCTAATTAGAGTGCTGAACAGACCCATGGCCATCTAGATATTAGGAAGATCATTTTCTTTGTTTTTAATAATTAATTGAACTATTTTCAGAATAATTCATTCCCTGCTCGCCTTAACTTTAATGAGAATTTCACTTTCCATCTGTGTGACAGTTATTTGACTTATTTTACATTCATCAGATGACTCTTTTACAGGACAATTTATGTTTTGGCCAACTAACATTTTTTCTTTTAGTCAGTTTAGGTACTGGTTATACCAAATAAAGCCCATGGCAATTTAGGTGATTTTCATAATTTATAAGGACTCTTATTAATCCTTTTCAATTTGACTTCCAGCCCGGGGAACAGCTCCCTCCAGAGATGACTGTGGCAAGATCTTCCGTTAAAGAACCCTCCAGAGAAGGCAACTCTGCATTCCACACGCGGCAGAAATCTGAGGTCTGAATTCTCTAGAGTTGCTACCTTATATGATAATGTCTGTCGGTAAAGATTGGTCATTCAGCATCATTACAGTCTATCTTTTAAAATGTATCCATGCCCAGTCTCTCACAGATAATTTGAACTGACTTATAAAGTAGTTTTCCTCATGCCATAATTCTCAATTTTCTCTTAAAAAGACCCTGGAGTGCTATTCCAAGTTCACAGGCCTTTTACCTTATATAAACCTGTTTCCTCTCTCAGGGTGGAGCATATCATGACCCCCACTCTGATGATGGCACTGCCCCCAAAGAAAATAGACATCTGTACAATGATCCTGTTCCAAGGAGAGTTGGCAGCTTCTACCGAGGTAAGCCTGGCCCCTGACTCCCAAAAGGGTCCTCTCTCTGTCCCTCTCTTATACCTGCAGCCCATACCCTCCCCTACATTTCACTGCCCTGGCTTCAGGTCAGTGTGATTCACCTGCGCTGTCACCTTCCAGTGCTTCTCCCAGCATCAGGTCCCGCTGTCCAATTTGAGGTCCTCAGGGCTTCTGACTTGGGTTCTTTGATTAATCTTCCTATTTCCAAGGTCACCATCAAAACAGTCACTGGAATGATCCTTCTGAAGCTGTGTTCTGACCACACCATTCATTGATTTAATTCAGTGATAAAATACATACTGATGTCACCTGTATGCCTGGCATTTTTCTAGTTTAGAACATGGCAGTGAACATGACTGTTGAAGGTCTTCAACCTCACATCCTCATGGGAAGAGAGCAGCACTAAATGTAATAATTATATAGAGCAATAAAGGTAATAAATGCTACAGGAAGAAAAATAGAACAAGGCAACCCATTTCCCCCACCACCTCATCCACATTCCTCTATCTCTCACCTTCTGAGAGTCTTCTGCCAGCTTCCCATTGGCATCAAGACAAAATCTGAATTCCCTAGGATGGCATTTCACACTTCCCATTCCTTGGCTCTGCTATCCTTTCCAGCTGCTCCTCTTCCTTTCTGGTGACCAGCCTGTGGTACTCACGCATGCCACACCCTCCTCTGGCCTGAAACTCACTCCTCCCACTGCTTGGATAGCTTGTTTCTGTCCCTTTTAAGATTCTCCTGTGAGGTTCTTTGCAGTGTGATGTCTTCCCTGCCCACCCAAAGTGTTTCCTCCCCTCTTCCACCCATGATTCCTTGTTTAGGGCTCTAACATGACACAGACCACATGGTACTGCTTCTTTGCCTGCATTTCTCTCTCGAAAGATTGTGCAGCTCTTTATCTTTTCTTCTTTCACCCTCATTGACTAGCATACTGCCTGGAAGTTTCATTAATATTTGTTGATTGACTTAAAGAAAATTTTAAAATCTTGCACAGCCTTAAAATGCACTTCAATGTTTAATAGAATCTAAAACAGATGCTTTGGGGGCCTGTATGGATTTAGGAGGTGCTGACAGAGAAAGGAATCCTCTTTGAGGAGTTCCTGGGGAGCCTTAGCCTATAGTAAGGAGACAGACAGCAAGCCCATCAGGGTGGGGCAAGGTCCTGGGTCAGGGAGGCTCAGCTTTTCAAAACCTTCCACACAACCCCCATACCCACATTGCCTGGCTTCTCACTATTGTGTTAATTAGGGAGGACAGCTGGAAAGGGGCAGGAATTGGGGGGTGCGGAATGGATAGCTGCTTGGTCTTTTTAACCAGGAACCTGAGCTAAATAAATACATATAAGTGTTATTCAGGACTAAATGTATATTGAATGATTAAGCCACTCTTTTTTCTCCTAGTGCTACCTTTGAAAAAAAGCATAAGGCATTGAATATACCTTTTTATAAAATATATTTATTGATTTCAGAGAGGAAGGGAGAGAGAGAGAGAAGCATCAATGATGAGAGACAATCATTGAATGGCTGCCTCCTACACACCCCACACTGGGGATCGAGCCTGCAACCTGGGTATGTGCCTTTGGCCAGAATCGAACCTGGGATCCTTTAGTCCGAGTGACGCTCTATATCTGCTGAGCCAAACTGGCTAGGGCTGAATATACCTTTTAATGTTCTCTTTTTTCATGCCATGATTACTTTAGAATCTTATGGGATTAAAATTTTAATTCAGAGTAAAGTTACTTAAAATAATCTTGTAGAATACATGAACAAAAGCCTTTTCTTCTATCACTGTAAGTTTTACTTCTAAAATGGATGTTATTTCTGTAGATGTCTGTGGAATATAGTTTAATATAAAATGTTAACAAAATTCTAATTAATGAATCTGGATCCACAGTTTTATTTTGCTTGCAAGTAAATTAAATCAGTTAATATCAGCAAAGCCCCTCATTTGTCTTCCTGATAACCCACTTTTTTATTTTAGAAAGTGTACAAATAGAAAGAAAAGATTTAACTAAGTGAACATCTGGAGACAAGCTGCCATTTCAATAATCTTACTAAATCTAACTGGATGAAGATTTAGTGGTATCACTGAAATGATAGATGTTTCTAGAATACTTCCATTGTACTGGTCAAGAGTCAAGTGAAATGGTGTCATTTATCTTGATATACAGCCTGTATATTCTTTTTGTGATGAAATTTGCAATATGTTTTGATTTATGACCAAGCTTAGAAATTGACAGAAAAAATAGTAACCCTCACCTAAAAAGCAGAAAAGTATTTACTCAAATACAATTTGGCTTTTCTTTGTTTATTCCTGGATTGAGAACTTAGAGAAAAAGTTGTATTCTTGTGCAAGTAACCAAATTTCTTTGGGATTTAGTTTTTAAAATATATAATTGAGGCTGCCTCCCAAGTGTCAAGACTTAAATGGTAGTTTGTATGTTCCAGCACACATATTGTTAAAAATCACTTCAAACTAAGGATAGGTTTTGCATAGTTGGGTTTTATTTATGTGAGAAAAAATACAATAGAATAACTTGAATAGTGCTTTGACCAAAGGAGTACATTAGTGACTTTCTTTATCTAGTGCCATCTCCACGTCCAGATAATTCTTTCCACGAGAATAATGTGTCAGCCAGAGTTTCTTCCCTGCCTTCGGAAAGCAGTTCGGGAACTAACCACTCAAAAAGACAACCAGCGTTCGAAACATGGTAAGGATTTTGGTTTGTTTCTACCTTTATTTTTTCTAACTGGAGATTTGAGATTTCAAAGAAATTCTGAATAAACATTTATCATTCTTTCTCGTACTAGGCCTTCCTTTCTCAAGAGAGATTGTTTGATAAGGAAAATGTGATCTGTCATTATTTGTAATGGTTTCTTTCAAGTGCAGCATTTATATTAAATATCATGTAAAAGAAAAAAAAATTCCTGGAGCAATAACTACCTCATAAGTCTTTCAATGCATTCTTCTGATATGATTGATGTTTTCGCTATCTCCTCTTTTGTTGCTATTGAATCATGCAGCAAGCACTTTGCTTAGCATTTTGTATACACTTTATCATTCAGTTCTCACAATCAGTGTTTGAAGTAGGAGAGGCTTCCATTCTACAGATGAGGAAACCAAGCTTAAAAATGGTAAGGAGCTTGTTGGGTGCTGGACAACCAGTAACAGGAGCTAGGATCTAGTCCTACATGGATTCTGACTCCACAGCTTGTATCATTCATCTCTATGCCAACTTACTTTTTTAAAGATTTATTTTTAAACACATATACATATTGATTTCAGAGAGGAAGAGAGAGGTAGAAACATCAGTGATGAGAGAGAATCAGCGATCAGCTGCCTTCTGCATGCCCTACCCTGGGGATTGAGCCCGAAACAGCCCTGACTAGGAATTGAACCATGATTTCTTGGTTTATAGGTCGACGCTCAACCACCAAGCCATGCCCGGCCAGGCCCAACTTACTTTTTTCATGGTAAAAAGATAAATGGGGAAACAATTCTTTATGGTACCACAAAAGTGTAGTGGTAGCCAGACGTTAAAATGTGCCGACTTTGCTAATCCTTTTATCTTCTTGTGTCATATGTAATAAAAATTTAAGGAGACTATAATGTATATCAAGTCTCAGGATTTGTCTGGAAGTAAGGACTTTTTAAAAATAGTAGTGTGGACTTTGTATTTTCAGCTGCCCAGAAAGACTGCCCAGAATCCAGATGTGAGGGGCACTTATGTGTACTTCATAGAACTACCTACCAAGTTTTCCACTAGTAGAATAAAATGGTGCATTGTTGTAACACACTGAATTTAGAATGAGACCAATCTGCCAGAGGTCCCATCTCTGGTGTTGCCAGAAGTCACAGAGGGCCTTAGGTCAGTTCTCCTAACCCTGTGTGGTTTCACAATTTGGACCCTGTTGGCAGGGTTATTCGAGGTTTCATTGTTACTGTGCCCAGTGGTGAAAATAACCTAATTATTATTTGTTTGTTCTGTTAACCCTCACCCAAGGATATTTTTCCACTGATTTTGAGAGAAAGTGTAAGGGAGGGGGAGAGACAGAGAAACATTGATCGATGTAAGAGCGAGACATCAATTGGTTGCCTCCTGCATGTGCCCCAACCAGGGCCGTAGATTGAACCTGCAACTGAGGTACATGCCCTTGACTGGAATCAAACCTGGGACCCTTTAGTCTGAGGGCCAATGCTCTATCCACTGAGATAAACGGGCTAGGGCAATTATTTTTAAAACAATAATAAAAGTGAGTTTTAAAGCTATAAATACTTTTTCTTTTATAAGCACACTTTCCATCCATTGCCTCATTTATAAAATGAGAGTCTTAAATTAGTGACGACTAAGAGGCTAGACTTTGGAAATAGAGGATCTTGATTAATGTCACTTTCTGGCCATGTGACTTTGACATCTTTTCCCTCATCTGTAATATAGGGCTAGGAAGAGTATCTCCTTCACATGGTTAAAGTGATGATTAACTGGGATAAAACGTCAAAAGCATCTAGAGCAATAACTTCTTAATGTCAGCAGTGTTTACCATTCATGTCCTCTAACTTCAGTATGACTGCTCAGGTGTCTCCCTTCCACTTACTTTGCTAATGAACTTTGGTGCATTCTTTCTTTATGTGACTGAAGACAAGATTTCCTATACATTAACCTGGGAGCACAGTTGCAACTTATTTTAATTATCAGCATTGACAGTTTTCAAGTGTGGCTTTAACAAGCCTTGAGAATAGTGTCTAAATTATGAGAATGTGGAATTACAGAAAAAAATGTTTTTCCTCTTGTTCATTGCCTAATGAATTAGTGATGGTTAAAAGAGTATCAATGACAGATTAACAGAGTCCAGTGAAAATTAGGTAGATCAGATCAAAACTGAGTCCAAATGTGGTATAGGTGGTACTCACAGCATACTGCTTCTGTCTTTTTGATAATCAGTTTGAATAGAGCTTGATTAGACCTAGGAATGTGTGGAAACCTGAAAACAGTTCTAAAAAAATTAGAAGCACAATTGGGACATTGAACTTTAGACAAGTCTCCATTGAGTCATCTGTACTCTGCTGCTAGTAATAGGCTTGAGAGAGTTTCAGATCATTGGTGGTGAATTTCGATATTCTTTTGTTCCCATTGCCCCTCTTGATAATGTTGCTATGATATTTCTTCATGCAGCACATCTAACTTAGTCTAAGTCATTTGTTAAGCTTGACTTCTTGTGATGTTTTTTCTTAAACAAGTAATCTCATTGTTTCACCATACTGTGTATATTTGAAAGAAATGTAGTTTGATAATTGTTACAAAAACACGTATGATCCTTGCTATGGCAACAGTGAATTGCTGTTTCTAAATTACTACTTTCCTAAGGGCAGTCTGTTTCTCCTTGATAGTAGTACTTTACATTTCTTTTGGGAAGAGAATGTTTCTACAGTGTATACATTTTTGTAATGAAAAAAAATAATCAAGCTACTATGTCTTATTATAAGTAATAAATAGATATTGTAGTATACTATCCAGAGTGGTTATTCTGGCCATCTCAGCTATCTCAAATCCATATTTATAAAAATAGGATGCTTTTAATTTGCTTAATGTATAAATATGTTTAGAAAGACTGCTGTCAAAATTGGGCTAAAAATTGATGCTTACAACAATAAACCAAATTAATGAGAAATCCCAGTGAAGAATTGCTGTCACTCACTTGCACAATCCCAGGCTTTTTCTTCTTATAGAGTTATTAATATGTTGGTGTCCATTATTGCTTGCCACCCTAAGTCACAAAATTATTTGCTGATTTTCTCTTCTCAAACATTACTGACCACCCTATTGACACTGCCAGAGGAGGGAAGGTGGCAAGGAAAGTGTCACAGAGTAATTAATGCCCCTCTCCTCTTCAGTTCACCTTCATGCTGCTCCCAGAACGATTATGCTGAAGTCTCTGATGTCTGACCCTGTCAAACCTGTGGGGCTCCTGTCTGGAGTCTGTGAGCAGCTTGAAGTCACACTCCTCGTTTTATTTTCCTCTATACTTCCAACACCTAACACAGGCCTGGCACATACAAAGTACTCCGTAAATGTTGGTTGACTTTGATTCAGTTGGTTTTAATTCATTCCCTTTTTTAAGTGAATCTTTTGAATTCTCTCTTTCCTCTTGACCAGTTAGAGCAGCGGTTCTCAACTTGTGGGCCGCGACCCCTTTGGTGGTCGAACGAGCCTTTCACAGGGGTCGCCTAAGACCATCCTACATATCAGATATTTACATTACGATTCATAACAGTAGCAAAATTAGTTATGAAGTAGCAACAAAAATAATTTTATGGTTGGGTCACAACATGAGGAACTGTATTTAAAGGGCCAGAAGGTTGAGAACCACTGAGTTAGAGAAATAGCTGTTGTATGAGATAATACGTGAGTCCCCAGACTGTTCAGGAAGCAGACTGTTAACCCCACACCATCATCACCTCCCACCTCCACCATTTTATTAACCTTGGATAATGTTCCAGGTGACTAGCCGGGTGGTTCTTCTTAAAGTTCCTGTCCCTGAAATTTATGTGATCACCCACTTGCCCTTCTCTTGCGCTGCTCCTCTTGGACCCGTCTATTGCTGTACAATTAGCTCAACTCAGCAGATAACTTCACAGAGTTGACAATTCAAATTTGAACTATATTATAGGGTGCACTCTTACCCATTGGGTATAGTACTGGTTCTAAATGTTTAAGTCTCCCTCTTCATTCTTTGTACAACACAGCTTTTCAGGGCCTGTGTTCCAGGCAGCTTCTCACCATCTCTGAGTCTCTCCCCCAGACTTTTTCTCCCTTGGGTTTCTCTGTTAATTCTCTGTATGTGTGTGTTTCAGTGTAGCTTCTCCCTCTCTCCCACTTGCGTTTCTGACTTCCTCCTGTGTCTTTTATGATACATGTACACTCACACTTCATTCCTAGCTTCCATCTTCTAATTCAAGGGTAATATTTTTTTTCTGTTTTGGCCCTTGGTATCTCTTCTGGCTGGATCTTGGCTCCACCATCTCTGCTCAGGTTCAGTTTGAAGATGTTTTCCTCATAATTCTCCCTCCCTCCAGGCTGTAGTTTATCCAATGCCTCTGAAAAGATGCTGCAGAGGGTCTTTGATTCATCTTACCTGTGTTTGGGTTACAAGGAACAACAGATACTGGCATTTTGTCCTGCTCCTTCTCTTTCCTTAGCCTCTTCTGCCCCCATCTTCTCACTTCCATCTTATTAGATAGACTCTTCTTCCCTTCTCACATCCTTCTCCTAAGACCAATGTCTCAAGCCTTCACTACCTCTCTCGCCAGCATTAGCATTCTTTTTTTTTTAATATATTTTTTATTGATTAAGATATTACATATGTGTCCTTGTCCCCACGTTACCCTCTACCCCCCCCCCCCGCTCATGCCCTCACCCCCCCGTTGTCCATGTCCATTGATTAGGCCTATATGCTTGCATATAAGTCCTTTGGTTGATCTTTCCCCCTTACCCCCACCCTCCCCTACCTTCCCTCCAAGTCCCGACAGTCATCAGCTTATGTTGTTCATTATATTCCACAAATGAGTGAGATCATGTGGTATTTATCCGCTCTCCAGTTCCATCCATGCTGTGGCAAATGGTCAGAGTTCCTTTTTCTTCTTCCTCTTCTTAAAGAATACCTTTCAGCATTTCATATAATGCTGGTTTGGTGGTGATGAACTCCTTTAGCT